GATGATGTGTTTTCTGACACTGTCACTGACTGTTTACTTTTTTTTAACTGCATTATATGCCTCCAGTGACTGAATTCCTGTTAACTTTCACACTTTTTAAGGGAGATTGAATGAGATTCATGTCTGCTTATGCTTTAGTAGCTAATAGGTCTCAAACAGAAAGGGAAGGGGAGTCAAGGTTACAGTCATCATAAAACTCAAGGTAGGTCATTTTTTTATTCAAACTTTGTAGTCTTCAGATCTAACCAACAGTGCCCTCGGGAGTGGATGTCCTTTTGAGGCTATGGCCATAATGGTACATTGTGAGGCCCAAACAGTTTGGTTAGTCATGCAACATCTCGGTTTGGTACACTCTGTGACCAAAAACAATTCGCTGTCCATATTAGCTAGTTATGTGTATACTTGCCTCAAATGGGCAGTGATGTAGTATCAAACTTGAATCTAACATTGTTCATTTACAAACCTGTGAAAGATCAGACAAGGTGCAAATGTGGTGACATTGCCAATGTTCACTTAATACTGCTACTGAGTGTTTATCACTACGGATATGTATACGATCATGCTTGGTCAAAGAAAATACAGGGATTTAAGCCACCACACCATAATCACGCCTTCACGATGACCGCATTAAATCACTCCATATAGCAATGCCTGCAGTTCAGGAATTATCAACAGGTCAGACCCTTATGATGGAGAATTACTGACATTTAGTGTTATTCAGTTTTCTTCTATTGACAATATGAAAGTATTTGAGTGCATTTAGTATTTAACATTTAAGTTTTTCAAAATAAATGAAAAACATGTTATTCGTTACTACATTTGGTACAATCAGGTAAACTATAGCTAAACTCCGTTGAAAATCCTTATATCTTACCAGTTGTTCTGCAGTACCCTTTACTTCGATTTGCAAAATGTATTCAGGAGAGTGACAAAAGAGTCACAAAAGGCCCTTATACAACTGTTCCACATATCCATTAGCTATTGTCATATATTATACAACTGCCATGTAACACAATGAATTGTACAGTTTCTTATTTAACCAGGAGCACTTTGTTCACATGGACATTTACTCTCAACCAAACTGTAATCATAATTATTTATGGATATTCAGACTGCTCCAAAATGAAAGGCAGGAAAAAGTGTGTGTGCATATGCATGCTCACCATAAAAGTATTTTCGGGGGTCAAGCTTGTTTCTTGCATCCCTGGACCACGGTAAGCTTGCCCATCACATCCATTTGGCATACCATTGTGACCCAATGGCCAAACTATCTATATCTCCTGGTTCACTATAACATTGGCCCCCACCTGCATGAGAGGGAGAGGAGTTCCACATTTCTTTCAGCTGTAGATCTTTAAAAATATCAAACAATCCAGTGCAAGTGGTACCAAACTTGTTTCTTTAAGGACCCATCACATACATACTTAAAATGCTTCTTTTTATTAACAATTCAGTGTTTTCTTCTCATTGTTCTATTAGTTCTTTGGCTGTTGAGTACATTACTGCAAAATAACAATTTCATTTTCTTTTTCTTTACATAAATGAACAAAATGCAAGAACATTAAGACCTAGTGTGCCTTATATCTTTTTAAGTGTTACTTACAACCACCTTCAATCAAACAGACCTTGAATCCTTCAATAAGGACCAAAAGCACTTCTTATTCCATTATTTTCAAGAGACTTGGGAGGAGACACTACTTTGAGCATCTCTTCACGCCTATACAGGCTGCCGACGCCAGAAGCAGCTGTAAAAACAAAAAACCTATAAGCCATAAACACAGACAGAACAACCAGCTCAGCTTCACACCAAAACGTGTAAAAACCCACCACCCGTATGGGGGCCGGATGTATTTTTAATTTTTGAGCAATAGGCCTCCGATCGTAGAAAATAGACTTTACACACAATAATTTGTTACTCAACAGACAAGAGACGTGTCGTTCTTACATGATATCGTTACTCGGTATATAGCGAATCGGCACGATGCAGACCGTCAGCATAACCTTGGTCCCATATATAGAAGTTTATCTGTGATATTAACATATCAATGTATATAAATCCTCAATAAGCTGTCCACGGGATCCAGTCATTTGCTACTAAGGACAGTCAAAACATTAACCACTCCAACCCGCCCCCCCTATTCTTCAATGACTTTAACTGCAGCCTGGAGATCTGCCAGTGATCAGTCTCAACCCTTAAACATCTACTCAGCTCCAAACTTAATGGACACAACGTTCAGTACTAAGCAACACAAAGAAAGTTTCTACATCCGTCCGCTAACTACTTATCAGAACACAGAAAGCTGCTCCTCTCGTAATGTTTGATATCAACGTGTGCCGATAATAAGTATGTCGTGTATGAAAACGTGTATGAAGTTTGCAGTAGAGACGATTGGATGGTGGTCAAACAAACAACCAGTCCTGTGTAA